TGCCACTTCGATCCGAATATGAAATACAATACACGAACACATACACACACGCGCGCGCGTATATACTGAAAAAAAATTACGAAAGAATCGTAAATTTGTAAATTACATAATCGTCGATCTACTCTACTTGTATTGTTGCGAAGTCAATTTTAAAGCCAGATACTGCCGATTCTGTAACTTAGACAAAAGAGCTAAAGAAAATCAGGGAAAAATATGAATTCCTTTCATAATAATTGCGATTTCAATTCTCATAGTTTTCGAAACAAACGTATAAGTATCTGCTTTTTTATTGATTAGCAAGATGTATAGAAAGTTTGAGCCTTTCGCTCTATAGCGTGAGACAGCTTGAAATATTCTTCCAAATGCTCAATCCTACACATTTCAAGTTATGCTCATTGCTACTTTTTTATCTTTAATATTTCTTTATTTACAAATAGGAATTTTTGTACAGAGCACAATATTAATTGCGTGTACTTGATAATAATTGTGTGCGAGCTAATAGGAGAAGTCCACATTATGGAATTATTTATAAGTGTCGTCAAATAAACGAGTGTTTATTTAAACCTTAGATCTAAATCATATCCCTACAATATTCTCGAATTAAGCGGATCATCCACTCGTCCGGCGATTAAACTCACTGAGGTCTCGGTGTCGACGATGAAATAAAGGAAGGGATGCAAAGCCGTAAAGGGTTCGGGCCCAGCTCTTTCGAATAGACCATTACCTAAAAAGAATTCATAATTATTTTGCAAACTTTTACTAAAGAATTATTTTAATCACAGAAAATATTAAAAATGTTTTTAATATTCAACAGTGTTTTTACTATTTTTTGTAATATGCACGTTACATTTTGTAAAAGATAAAAAATTATGTACTTTCCAAAGCGATAATAATATTCAGTAAAAATTAATTCGCAAAAAGAATATTTACACAGTTTAATCTATGTCAATTACAGAGCTAAAAAATCTTGCAAATTTTGATGTGCGCAAAAATGTAGCAGTCTAGCCGCGCATAATACAAAGCTAATACTTCGTGCGTATTTTATGTAGTGCAGAGGAATTAAAAACGTTTCAATTACGATGGAAAAATATAAGAGGTTTGAGGTTAATGTGTTTAGTGAGTTTTTGCAAGGAATCAAGGCTACGTTTTTTTGCGCATTAGAAGAAACTATATATAATGATGTTATAATTTTTCTTATAATAGCAAGATTTTTTTAAAGCACTTGCAGAACTTCTACATAGTTTTAGGGTTCAGACCTAGACAGAAAAATAGAAAGTAGAAAACCAATCGGAACTCGCGATAGTAGTCGCTTGTTTTTTTGCTTACTAATAGCGCAAGTTTTGATTGGCTGCTGCTTTTCTGCTTTCTGCCTTTCCGTCAAGGTCTGAATCCACCCTAAAAACGATCATATACATATTTTCTCTAAAATTCGAACGAAAATTTTAATCAATATGATTGCAAACGAGAGAATTGAAAACGAGAAAATTTTAATATCTAATTTCTTTTTAATACCGTTTTAATTTAAACAGCATTTTAATATCTAATTTCTTAAACGACTGACAGACGTAGTGCATTGCAGATTGGCAGGTCAATCTTTAGATTTCTAGATGTTCAGTTCATTGACTTGCAATGCACGCGTCCTTCCTTTCACTGCGACTTGACAAAACTTCTTACCGTTGTATTTTTACAACAGTTAGTTTTTACAGGAAAGAAAAGAACGTAATGTCACAAACAACGGAGATAAGTATCTAGTGCAGTAAAAGCAATATTTTAATTTTTTAAATCACTATTATTATCAGCTTGATAAAAGGTTTTATTTCATTGTCATTTTAACTATACGTGCAAGCAAAGAATCCCGTTAAAGAACTGACTAGATAGCTAATAATGTTATATAGAAAATTGTAACTCTGAAAGTGAACTATAATAATCTTTTGTTTTCCACATATTCTATCATTTTATCATAAAATTCGTATTTATTTGAAAATAAATATATACGCGACAAAAATAACCGAAAAAATAATTTCATGAAAACGCTGCAACGCCACAATGATTCAGGAATCCTCGGTGAATGTAAAAAAGTGATGGCGCAAGGTCTTTTATTGACTTCCTTTACGGACTTGAGCAGGATATTAGCAATTAAATTCAGTGAACTGAACAACAATACTGAGAATATTTCCAACCGTAATCGATAGTTTTGCTTGAAGCTTCGCCTAGTGGCGTGAAAATAAATACTGCCTAGCTATTCGTCCTCGGAACTCATATTTTCGCAGATACGGTCCATTTACATCTCGCAACTGCATCATAATTTTTCAAGATTAAACCCTGTAAATTACATGGAATTCATAGAAATAGATGTGTTTTTGAAAAAGCGTTTAGCTGAATTATCTGCTGGATTAACTTGTAATTTAACGATGCATTGAGGAGATAATGACTAATACTCGCATAATTATCGTAAAGATATAATTTAGCGAGAGACGATTCGTTCCCGATAATTTCTCAATCTTAAACGAGGACAACGTTTTCGAATAATTTTTCGAAAATCTTCGATAATTTTCACAGTATTTTCGAAGAAACGTCATCATTAACGAAGAAACGTCATCATTAACGACACAGTCGGCGTTAAGTAATGAAGATGTAGCGGAACGTGAGAAAAAGCAACGACGGAACAAGCGGAAGCGAAAAAGAGAGAAAGGAAAGCGAAGAAACGACTGACAATGAGTGGCAGCAGTAGTAATAGCTAAATAGTCGGACGTCATTAGACGTATGTTCGCTACGCGTAGACGGATACATTGTCGCCGCCGTCGTTTACAAATTATGTGCGCAAATTATGTTTCTGGAGGATACTCGAGCCGTACGCGTGAAACTTTGTAATTTCACTCGTTAATGCCGGATATTGCGTCAACGTAATTACTTCTTCAAACATTATCTCCGACGTCGCTATTCCTCCGTCCGCCTTGCTGTTTGTTTCTTTCTTTCACGACAAATTAAATCACCTAAATGCCATTCAATGCCAATAACATCTGATTAACCGAGCACTCGAGACGTATCGGAACGCTCACCGATTTCGAATGCTACCTAAGATGGTTTAATTCTAGGGAATCAAGTTGATTACTCGTATCAAGTTGTCAGGCAATAGATATATTTGCGTGAAATAGCATCGAGAACGGAAAACGTGGCGAAATAATGAATAATAAAATAATGAAAAATCAAAAATTAAAATAAACTCGTGCATTTTATCGATAAACGAATACTCAGATGTTTGACTCGCATTGACAGCGCTATATTATTACATTTAAAGACAGAAGGAAGCAATTTACAAGCGAAGGTAAGAGAAGCGAAAAAAAAAGGGTAAAATATTGTATACATTTAAGAAATGAAGGAATACTACAGATGCTAATGATTATACACGCAACGCGCAAAATTGTATAAATTGGACTCTTAAATTCAGGATGTCCGCATTAAAGAGCAAGGAATGCAATTACACGCGTGGAAACGATTACCGTTACGGGATAATTGAAAGGAGAGTGCGTTAGCGCATGAAAAGCGTAAGAGAGTAAAAAGAACCTGGCGGTAGATATCGATAATAGTCCCTTCGAGGTGGAACGACATTAGACGACTCACGAGAATGGGTCCGGTCGGGTTTCATATAATTCCTTATATTGACCCCTATACTCTGTTGCACGTCTCTAGCGTATACACCGAGATCGGATGTCATGGGCGATAAATCAGCTACTCTCGGCTCGAACACATCCAGGATGCCCAGCTACGAAGGAAACAGGTAAATGAAGGAAAATCTTAGAGAGATTACGCAAATCTCGACGCAAATATCGAGGCAACTATACACCAGTCACGCATAGGTGTCGATAATAATCTTGATTTGTCCTTCCTCAATCTCAACCTTCTCTACTCACGAAACGTTAAAAAAAAAGAAACGTCTTTTTGTTGTACTCAAGATTACATACTTGATGTCTTGGAAAATTCGTTTGAAATAATTCAGAACGGGCAAATAAATTAAGATGTAATTTATAATCACGGATGACATTAAATTATTTCAGGTATTTATGTGAACTTCTCGATTATTCGTGAATCCTTAAGATAAAAAAAAAAAGTCCTTAAAAATGGAAAACTGTATAAACTGTGGAGAACTACTACTTGACACCTTCATGCGCGGTTGACTGTAAATCCGGAATGTATTTTTCTATTCGGTGTCTACATTTGGCATTGGTAGGACACTGACGTCAAAGAGGACGTGTTATCCGCTTACCCTTTGCAAAAATGACGTCAATGTGACGAAACCACGCAGCATGAACGAAGGTATAGTGGCCCTGACCCAAGTAGGCTGTAATCGCTTCCTCAACAATCTCAATGACTTTCCGCTAAGATCCCTCGCCAGACGAAGCGTGTCCGTTTTATCCGTGGGCATGAAAAGTATAATGTTGTATCGGGGATCCTTGATATTAAGAAAATAAGAGATTCTTTACATTACTCGCAATACTTACTTACAGCTGTACAGTGATTGAAACTACTTTAGAAAAATTTACGTCTAATTTCGAAAATCCTTCGACATTGGCCAAGACTTATTTATTTTCAGCTAGTAAAAGCTAGGATAAAATTATTTAACATAGATTGCAGGATTGCGCAACTCTTATTTTGAAGAATTGGAAAAGTTTTAAATTAAAGATTAATAAATCAAGCTTAAAATGATTCTCTCGAGTTTGGAAAGGGTGAATTAATAAATCATATTGAACTTTCATGCAGACTTACGTCCAAAGGAAATTCGAGCGCGACAGCTTGCAACGATGGGAAATATGCGAAAGGCAATACGGCAATGTATCTCGAAGCCGATACCGAGGAAACGTCGCAGCCGTTCACCAAAAACGACATCTCCGCTGACGAATCACCGATGGAGGACTCGCTAGGGTTTACTGTATTATACGACTTCCAAATTTCTAGATTTTGCATCCAAATACCTTCGTCTGAAAAACAGGAAATCGAATTCCATTCAGTTACTTAGCGTTTTCTATTTAGAAGAAAGAATTCTTTCTTAAAATCTCATATAAATGCATGTAATTTTCACTTTTTCCTCTAACAAAACAACATTTGATACTCGTAATTTGATATTCGTAATTGCATGGTTTATGTATAGGAATTACTACATAAATAATTTATCATTGGAATTTTCCCACTTAACAAGATTTAACTCGTAACACTTTCAATTCGTAACACGAGCGATTTACTCGAAAAAGATATTCATTAACTGAACGTACCTGGATAGCTAGAGAAATATCCGCGCAGATTTCTCGCTTTGCGTTTACGAAGATTCGGCGGTCTATCATGTGACTCATCTTTAACGGTGTTGCTGTTAATTATACTATCTATCAGGTTAATTATATCTTTCTTCTTTCGGTTCGAAATCGTATTTTCATCCACAAGAGACGCGCCCGTTTGATTATCTATAGAACTCATCATAGAATTCGCGATCGTGAAGTTATTCCCAGCAAGATCGTTCGCGTTTGTTGTTGCTGAGACAGGCGGTACCACGATCGTTGCAGAACTGACTGCGACAGCATCGTCAATATTGGTCACAGTCGTCGTTGCGAGGTCATTTGCAACGGTCATTCCTGAAGTATTCCCGACCGGAGTATCTGCCGATGACTCGGTACTCGATTGCAAATTAACGCCGTTCACCATCATCGTTTCGGTAACGGGACTCGAGATAGTCACGTTCGCGCTATTCAACATCACTGGTACCACAGTAGTTAACGAATTCATGGTAACGGTACTCAAGGTCGCATTGGGAATAGTTGTGTCAGCGGGCATCATATTGACGACGACTGAGCTCGCGGCTACCAATGCGTCGGAACTTGGATCCGCGACGATTGTAGTCGACGAGTAGTCCGAACTCAACGCATTTGTAGTCATTGGTACCTCGGTATTCGTAGCGGAAGTTGAAACATCAGTACTCATCGATATCGTCACGCCAGCATCAGTCGCAGCTGCTGCTGTCGTTCCTGGGTCTGTCGATGGTCGAACGCTGTCGTTAGGAACGCTACTAGCACTCGTTGCACTATCGCCAGCGGTGACTGTTGGGGAAGTTTGCCGATCCTGATTGCCCGCGACGGTGACTATATTTGTAGTTGGAATCAGTTGATTGTCTGTGCTTACTATCGGGGTAATCGTATTCGGCGAACCCACGACAGTTTCCGCGGATGGAGTCGGCTGAATACTTTCGCCGGAAGTAACCGCCGTTGAGGAATTGATCGATTGCGTCGGCGATGTATTCTGGACAATCGTTCCGGTGCCGGTGACCGAAGCCAATGTCGATTGTACATCGGTTGCACCCGTCGATGTCGTCGTGACAGTTTGCTGAGTAACGCCCGGTGCGGTCGATGGAACGACTGTTGTTTCCGCACCAGCCGGAGGAAGCGTCGTGATTGCACCCGTTGATGTTGTCGTCGTCATGTCCGGCACATTCTCAGTGTTTGCCATCTCTGTTGATGGCATGCTCGAGCCGATCGTAGACGTCGGAAGTTCAGTTATACCTGATGAGTCTTCCGTGCTAACGGTAACGTTCGCTTCTTGCTCAATACTCGACAAATCGAAGCCGTAAAACCTCAGAATGTCTTCATACTCAGGACGGAGTCTGGTATTTTCTCTGCTTAGCGTCAAACCACCCAGGAAACCGTCGGCGTTGAGGTAGCTCTTGAAATCAGCGATATAAAAAATTTAATGCGCGCGCGATTCTCTTATTATTTATAACATTCTAATCTCATTTATAACAATTATCAATTTCTTTTCAATATCAGGCTGCTCCACGCTCTAATGAAGTGAACTGCAACGTTCACAAAACATTGGCGTTCTAATAATCTGGACACGGAAATAATTCACTTAGCTTCTATATAATTATCAATTTCGTTTCTCAAAAGAGAGATGAATGCATTTAAATAATAAAAATTCCGAAAAAATATGTCGAATCATACATTCAGAGCAATATATATCAAATACATCAAATTCGAGACGTGATAGAAGGTGTCTAAAAAAATGTCTAAAAGATATCCAGGGAAATATCTTTCGAATGTTAACACCTAAGTATTGATCCTGTTCGTGTTGCTTGCACTCTTTGCATCCTCGCCTCTCTTCAATGCCCGAATATACTGTACTTATTTCATTTTAAGTGAAAAAAATTTCGAAGTTATTTATCAAGCAACGTAAACAGATCTGTTATATGGAATCTTACACGTAATCGTCGGTGAATATCCCTGAAACCGATCCTGGTAACATCCCGATTGGCTGGTAGGCATATGGCCTCGGCGATTTGTTGACTTCCTCTACCCGCGGATCCTTCGTAGAGCGCCGCTAGTACGAAGGCAACCCCCGTTGGCGAGAACGCGACGTTTCCACGCGTGAAATATTGCTGAAGGATCCTCACCCCGAGCTCGTTAACGACATCGGTGATCACGTCAACTGGACGCTCCGTGTCCGCGCGATACCAAGGATGACCGTACCTGTAAGCGAACGCGGACGACACTGCTGCAACATAACATCAGTGGGAAATGTTAAAATTCATAACGTTGTGCGTGCGTGATTTGATACGCGTTAGTACATGTATCATTTGTTTCTCGAAATTGAAGCCTTCCCACGAGTAACACTGCCAGCGTTTCTTCACGAAACGCAATCATATTTTAACATGAATCTTCTGCAATATTTGCAATACGATTCTACCTTTGCTTTCTCTCTTTGTATAATTCATACCGGGGGGGAAAAAAAAGAAAAAAATTCAATCGAATACATTTATATTTATCTGCATTTATTTGTTTCGCTTTCGTTACGCGAAGGAGAGGCTTCAAGCTCGTGAGAATCGCCTTGACGGATTAATCCTCTAATTCAAATCGCAAAGTAATCGAAACGGCCTTACGTACGCTGCAATATTACAATCAGGTGCAACGGCTTTCCCATTGTTTTCCGCTGCTTCCTTCTCGATGCTCCAATCGTTACGTCGAGCCGGAGACGGAGAGAGAGAGAGAGAGAGAGAGAGAGAGTCCGCGACGAGATCCAGCGCCGGTTCTAATGTTAGGATTAGCCTTAGTCGTCCGCGCTCTACGTCGGGACTGGCTCACGTCGTAGGAACGCGTGGATCAGATGCGCCAGGCTAGCCGCCTAGCTCGTCGGGGCTCGTCGTTCGATTAAGACCCGCTCAAGGGGCCCGTCCGACTTCCGAGGCGCGCGAGGCCCGCTCAAGGCCCGCTCTCGAGGGGGCCCGTCCGAAGACCGCCAATTACTACCGCGACTTCTTAAGTGGCTAAGGTCGTAATCCCCGTTAAATTGCGCGCATAGCTTCCCTCCAAGCCGTCAATTCCTTTTCCTGCCGCTCTTCGTCGCTATTCTTTCCTTTTCGAGGCTTCTATCTCCCAACGTTTCGACAAGAAGGGGATCTTAAGTGTGTCGCCGCATCATCTGTGCTTACGTTTATGAGTATCTCGAGTATCATTGCGGAACGTGATATATATGTATATATATGTGCGTGCTCTACTCACAACCCAATGGCAAAGATATTACGATATTATTTCATTGAAGTAAAAATGTATCAGTGATTGGCCGAAAGACATTGTGACGTAAATAAACGTCTTCAGGATTCATATTATTTGGTCACATTATTACATTATTTTATACTGTTCATGTAAAATTCGAACGTTGATTGAAAGCAAAGAAGACGCGAAGAAACGTATACTTGCGAGAAATTAATTGCTTCATATTTAATTAATTGAAAAATTAATTATAATTGATAAATTAGAAATGATGTATCAAGCTTCGATATTAAATTAGTGAATAAAAATCGGTTATAATTAAAAACAGGTTATAATGGGAAGCAAGTGTGTCACGCTTTCGTGCATGAAATGTTTCTTATACTATTTCGCGTGTCACTCGCTGGTACACGGACTGGCTCCATTCGTAATACACTAGTCGGGCGAGCCGAAAATTCCTCTCTCCGTGCGATCGGCAGCGATCGCACGTCTATATATCTGTGCCGACTACAAATCTTCGAAAATATGCGGATATTAACGCGCGTGATAACGGTAGTGGCGTTCGGCGGCGGCCGAAGAAATAGTGAAGGCGCGGCGAGGATCTGCTTTCGACTGATCCAAGTGGGAGGATCTCCGCGAATGAGACATTACGTAATATCGCGGTGACTTTTACCGCGCGTTGCAGACGGCTGTTGAATGCGCAATCCAGAATCCAGGATCTGACGCGAGCCAACAATGGAACGACAAGGATCATTATCCTGCGCACGCGAAGCACAATGTCTTCGCGTGCCTTCTTTCTCATCCTCTGTCGTTCCCGATTGCATCCCGATTTCGCTCGCGAAACGGATCGTTATCGGCACCAAACGGAGTTTGACGCAGAGTCGCGTACTACATCCTTATCTATCACGGAAATAACGATTTTGTTGAAGTAATCTAAAAAATATATAACCAGATACGAAATCTGAAAATAATTTTGTTTTATCATTGAAATAATTATGTAGGAAAGTCAAGCATGATAAACAATGCTGCAAAAAATTTCGACGTTCTAGCAATCAGTTTGAATGTACTACATAATTATTTTAATAACCCAACGTTCCGATCTCTCTCTATAACTAGCTGAACTTTTAGATATTTCAGCAAAATCGTTTTTCTCGTGTATCCCTACTCACGATATTCACCGAACGTTTTTAAAACGCACACGTCGAACCGGAACAATCTCAAGGTGATAAACTTGACGATGATTGATGCGCAAGCCAGTATCAATTGTCCGTTCGCGATCGATAAAAAAATATATTCATCAATTTTTGAAAGAAATCGTACGATAAAGGAATCTCATCTACTATCTATTTTTAGGATTTTTTTCTTTATATTGTAGAATGTTATTTAAGGCAAGTAATTCACACAAACTTATATAACGCTTATCCGATATCTTTAATAATTATTTTGAATACAATGGCAAAAAATAGTTTTCTTTTTAAAAAGTCGTATTTTTTAAAGAATAATTTTTTCAGTTGGTTCCACACTGTGTAATTACGTTTAATGAGTTTTGTCTCAAGGATAAAACTTGTACTAAGTGTAAAAACGTATATTTTATATCAATTTGCAAAGAATTCTTTCTAAAATTTACTTTAACTGCAAAATACAGCTGTACAATACAGCTGTAAAATAGGTAACTGTAAAGGAAAACTTCTGTGCCAGAAAACCATGTCACTTAAGTACGTAATTTGCAATTAAATAATGCGTAACATTAATAACATGTAGCACGAGGAGTCGCTCTATACTTAAGCGAGAATGGTCCCTGTAATTAACACTAGATATAAGAAACGATAAAGTCTAATTGCGCATGCAGATGTTCTAGCCGTGAAGCTATTCCGCGAGAAGTAGAAACGTATTTAATCTATCATCTATCCTCGGCTGCGTCCGATTCAAGAGATAAAAGGCTGAATCAATTTACGCCGCTTCGACACTTGCCGCTTATGACAGCAAAACTCGCAGCACAGAAGAAATATCGATCCGGTCACGCCTGAAAAGAGCACAATGAGGAGTCGCTTTTACTCCCACGAGGTGTTATTACACACCCCGAACGGCACGCAAAAAACACGTTACCCATGAAAAGCACGAAAAATATGCCCTGCATATCCGTGACGTTTACTTTGCGCTCTTTCACGCCCTGGTTGGCGAAGCTGTCCGAGCATTTGTCTTTCGTCGGTATTTGCTCCGCTATCCACTTGTTCATTAATCCAGACTCGTGCATGCGGTGTAACCTAAATAACGAAACTTATTCATTTACTCAATTAATAATTGGCTTCGGCAAAATATAATGGATATGGATGGGATTGTCACTGAATTACGACAGTCACAAAGTGACGATTTGTCGATAACAAAGATAAAACTTTATATAATAAACTCAACAGAATTTACATGCAATTTACCGTATTATTAAAAAAATAATACGTTGGAAAAATTGATAATAATAAATTACTACACAGTGTCAACAGTAATTATTTTACCGTTGTGAGATAATTAATGTATAATAAAACAAATTAATTAGCTTACTCAGCGTTGATGATTTTTATGTAAGGACTATCTTTTGCAATAATCATCGCTATGGGCTCGTCCATAAATTCATCAGTGCTCAAAGAAAAGGCGCATCCCTTAGTTAATAACAGGTCACTTCTCATCAAGAATCTGCTCGGGCAATGCATCATTATCATCATTTTTATCGGACAGACTAATTCATTCTATATGTTTGACAGAATGAAATATTTAAAAGACCGTATCTCCATTTATCACGAAATTCCTCATGGAAATAATTATAGCGTGTTACAATATATAAGTTAAAGATGCGGAGATATTTATTTTATCAGATTTTACACAATGTTTTCGGAAGAGAAGTTTACGTAAATTTATAAACAGAATATTTATTAAAAATTATCTTTTTTTTTTTTTGTATATTATGAAATTACCTCAATGTGCTTCTCCAATCAATCAACACGTGCTTGCCCATCTTTATCTGCTCAATCATATCCACTTCTTGTGTCGCGTTATGAATTATAGCCCGCTCCAAAAGAATATGATACTTTTCTTCTTCGGCATTCTTTAGATACTCCTCTAAAAAGCTGCCATTAGGAAAGCCCCAGGTTAATTTGTTTTTCTGAGCAATAAGATCATCCACAGTCAGAATGGCAGTGTCTGTATTTGGGAATGTTAGGAACGCGACCAAACTTCCGGAATAGGTTGCTACTAAGACCATCACAACCAACCACCAGACACCAACCAACAGGCGAGCGCTATCGGAATGAGGTAAGTACATTCCTCCTAAAATAATTCGCAATCACCCTTGTATGTTTCCAGAAAGGAAAATACGATCTGTATTTTCATATAAAAACAAGTGTAAAATAAAAACGATTTTTTTCTCAACAAAAACCTTAGAAAACTAGTAATTTGGAAAAAGAAAATATTTTATAATAATACAAAGAAATAGAAAAATAAAAAGGACGGAAATGTGAAAAAATGTTTTAACCTGGGTTACATCTTACAAGCGAAATAAAAGTAGCGCTTCCAGAAATAAGCGGATGCTACCTTGCTGAAGAAGGGCCCCGTAGACGTACCATACGCATTGCCAGCAGGAGTTGAGCCCCGATAACATCGTGCTACTTGGACTGTACTTGTGAATCAGGTACAAGCTCGGGCCCATTATAATAATGGATGCTGCCAGACAGGCCCACGTCTACAAGCAAAACTAGCCCGCTTGAAGGCGTTGCAACAAATACATTATGAAGATACAATGTCGCTCTATCGTATAGGTATACATATATGTATAATGCATTAAATAAACTTCAAATTTCTAGAAACGTAAAATTGCTGCGGCGTAGAGGTGCACATTTTACCTCTTTGGTAAAGGGCGCGGTGAACAACAACGCTCTAGAAAGTTGGCCCGGTTTCGCAGTTAGGAAGCTATATGTCTGTATAAAAATCGGCAAGGTAAAATTGATCTGTTTCTTTCCGTGGTCGTTCACGGTGTACGCGCAGGCTGCAAGAAGGACCTTTTTCTCCAGAATCATATCTATTATCTGCGATGGCATTTCTCTCGTTGTCGACGTTAACACCTAACGTTTGAAACACTCGTAGTAAAACATCGAGAAGTTATCGGGAAATTAAATTAAGTGCTGCTGTGCATCAGTTGAATAAGCTTTAGAACGGAGATCGTAAAATAAAGTTTTATGTAAATTTATAGTTCAAATAATACTTAAAATATTTTTTTTTTTATTTAGTAAAGAAATAAATGCTTTATACACTTTATGAACATTCGATGAAACTTAAACTTTGTTATACGATAAAACTTAAACTTTGTTTTACCACATTGGCTGCAGTAGCGTTACGAGTGAACTTGGTCCGATTGATCGCCGGGCTGAGCACATTATAAGTAAAGTTCAATTTTTTCCCTAGATATTTCACA